CTGAAAGCAGCACAGCGACTCTTGGAGACAGTTCCAGTCAGATCAGGTCAGAAATCAGCAGGCCGCTCAGCTGATCAGGTAATCAGGTCAGGCCATGTGTGCAGCTCCTTTAAAGAGTTTGTTTCTAACTATCACATAAACCCTGTTTAGTTACATCAATAAAACTCTAATTATTAGAGAAATCCAAAGAAAAAAAAGTCTTACACTATCATGTCACCAAAGCACCAGCTCTAAAATGACGAAGACAGCGATCAGGTTTAACTCACACACCTGCTGTAAATCTCCATTAATCCTTATTTAGATCTAATCTGCTCTAATCCAGCAGTCAGGGAGTGGAGTGTAGTAAACTAACCTCTGGCTGATTCCTCTAAAGTGTGTTATACAATGTGTGTGTCTATAAGAGTGTGTGTGTGGTCTCTATCATTAGATCACTTACACATAATGCCATCTGAGTGTTTGCAGTTAAAATGAGACATTTTCTCTCCTTCAGCTGAAATTAAACCTGAAATTAAACCTCGGACTGATGAACATCTGAAAGTAAAGCTGTGTGATTTGACAGAAAGCACACTTAGATTTCTAAACCCATCAGCTTCAGCACCATCACCATGACTCTGAGCTTTTTGAAGGGTTGAACTGACTCAACAGTTTAGAATCTCCTGTAGCTACGCTGCCATCTGGTGGCAGGATGCACGAACAGATACCCACAGACTTAGCTCCGTTTTCTCCTGCATTAATTCTTATTTTTGCAGGTTTCTGATGAATCACAGAGTGGGGAAAGGCCTCAGATATAAGTGTCTGATAAACACTAATGCAGATTCTTGATGTCAGGTACTAAAACACTCATAAAGTGTAGGTGAAGTGCCATAAGAGGACTGAACAGGTCTAAAAGACATCTAAACTACAAGTGCTGTAAGAACCAAAAGATTCATTCATATTGATTTCTTAAAAACTTGGACAAATCTCAGTTAAAACAGGAGGAATTTTTAATTTCTACAAGTGCGGCTTTTTCTCCTCTTTCTGTTTCCTAACACATTATTGAGAGTATTTTACTGGCATGGCAGGAAGAGGGCACTCTTCCTTCAGTTAAAGAGAAACCAGCTTTTAGTGAAGAGAGTACATGTCTGTCTCCAGAGGACTGACAAAGCAGCGCAACTTCTTAGGCTGCCGTCTTTTACTCAGCCATGAATTAAAAACCAAGTGAGCTGACATCTACTGATGAAATCGTGTTGAGCAAAATTCGCTTCAAACCAGGAGTAAAAAAAATGCCAAATTCACATTTCTATTCTGGTGACATTTCAAGAGTTAGAGCAGAAACACAGGCAGTAAAGCAACAATATTAAACACTGTATGTCCTCTATATCCCAAACCTGAACCCTCCCATTGTTCCCTAACATATACATCCTCAATATGTAGATGCATGACCTGTCTCCACCTCCTTCTGACTCCAAATGAAAGCAAATATAGTGACAGATGTTGACTTAGGCCTTTAATGGTCTATACTGTCGCCTGTCAGCAGGGGGAGCTCCAGGTATTTTGGCCTCACATTGAAGGAGCAATCATATCTCACATCTTCTTACATTTACACTTGGCTAGTACTGTATTTACTGCAAAGCGTCCACCCTATAAAAAAAAAAAATAAGAGCGCTCTCAACACGCTGAGTGACACTCTGGCAGCATAACCGGCCCTCCCTCTCAGAGCTTCCTCTCACAGTTCCCTCGGCCCTCGCTGCTCACAGGTGGTCTCATGTTTCTCAGAGTCATTAAACAAACTGTGGACTCACATTTTAAAGACAGAGATTTATATTGAAACATGCAGCGGGACATATTCTCTCACTTAGTCCTGGCCTGGGCTGCAGACAGCATGTGGACTTCATATAAAAAGACGATCCAATCCTCCATCTGGTGGAGGGTGAGACCTGGAGAGAAGGTCAGTGTGGAGCCCCGGGAGGCTGCAGGAAAGGCAGCTTTTACTGCTGCTCTAAAACTCCTCTCACACATACTGGAGTTATATAACAGATCCAGTCTGACACGTATGGGGTTTAAAGGCCAATAACAGTGGGGATATACAGTAGATGATTTCTCCACGCACATGAAGTTTGGGTTTAGAAAATGTATGCTGTATTTGTGAGGAGTTCAGAAATTTAATGCCATTTTTCCAGGACATAAAAACTCAACTTTGCAGGCAAATCAAAAAGAACTAGCATCAGTGGTGGAAAAACCTGATGTCACCAACTTTGAGTGGTTTCTTAATTTTCAGACCAGTTAAAGAAAAGCCCATAAAGAGTAACAGGAACACTTTATATCAAGGTCCTTGTAACAAGCATTAACTATTGTTGATAAGCCATTATACAACCTTATAAGAGACTTCCATAACATTTTTAAGTGTTAATTAGTGTAAATTAAAGCATAATTAACACATTTTAAAATACAATTTTTAACACAACCCAATCAGGTTCTCAGTTTGTTCTATAAAGTTCATTTTTTACCATTTGACTATGTATTTACTGATGAGTGGCATTATATGGATTCGTGAGAACTACGTCGTGAGTGCTAGGAAGTCAGGTTGACAACCAGCATGCAGTAAGGCGCAAGAGTAAAGTAATTTACATGAGATTTAAAAACCAAACACCCTTTAAAATTACTTCATTAAGGTTTTCTCAAAAAGATTTTATTTAAACTTCCAACTTTTTATTTGCAAAGATCTCAAAAATTCACTCTTGTAACTTTAACAACTCTAAAACAAATGTGTTGTGACAAAAATCACCATTTGAAGCCTGTTTCTTACCAGGTTGCAAGTATGCAATTTTTATCTGTTTACTTTAGATAGTTAGAATTAAACTTAGCTGCGACAGACCATCCCTGGCTCTGACTGTAAGCTGATGATACGGCTCTCTTTCTTTCTGCTTAAATAAGGTGGCATGGACTGCTAACACCCTTAAAACTGAACTGAAAATAAAGTTTTCTTAACTATAAATGAAGTGAGAACTGTGCAGTGAAGTGGGAAATAAGTTCTAGGAAACTTATTTGGGGCTGTTTGTCGATTAAAAGCAGTCAATGAATAAGACGTGTAGGAGCTAAGTCTACACTTTATGCTACCGAGATGCTTGACCCAGAGTAACCTGGTTGACGTGCCACGCTACTGGTGTCTTACATTCCTGTGAGTCTTTGGTGATCAGTTAATGTCCTTTATTACCTACCTTTATTCCTGAGCCCCAGATAACAGGACAGCGACACCTAAGGCACACAAAGTGAACTGCAACTCATCAACATATCTGGCTCCTACAACACATCTATTTAAAACAGCTCTATGATTCATGCAAATCTGTGTCTTTGGTATTCTCAGAGTGCTTAACATGCATTACACATTAAACATCCTTTACCAGCTTGTAATCATAGTTCTGTACCAGACGTCATTATTGCACCTTTGAGGGAATTTTCTTGGTATTAAAAGTTTTAAAAATTTAAAATCTCTCCCATGTCATAACTGTTGGATTCTGGTTATTATAAGAGCTCTAAAAGATGTTACCTTACTGCCATGACTCTTAAGGCATATCAGAAGCAAATCAAAGTATTTGATAGTTAAGGATTTCTTGATGAAAGTCGACAGGCATTCAGAGAAAGCCTCGTTCACACATGGTTATAACATCAGACAGCTTCTGCAGCTCAGCTCTAATTATTTAAGCTAAACCACACTGACCAGAGCACACCTGGCTGCACACATTTACTCAGAGACACACTCACACACCTTTCCTCTCCGTGGGGAAATAAATGGAAAGGTGATCTTGGGGTTTTGGCCATGACATCATGAAAAACTGCTGTGCAGTCGTCCAATCTTCCATTGCCTCTGATTTCCCCCACACACCCGGCATGAGACAGGTGGAGAGGTTTAGAGTCTCGCAGCTGAAATAAATCCAATCTTTCTTCCATTACTGCCAGAGGAGAAGAAGGAGGAGGTTTATGGAGGACTTCGGCCAGTGCAGTGAACAGCTGAGAGGTCTGGACTCATGCCATAAGAGGGAGTCTCATTTTTCCTGATCTTTCCTGACCTCCCTCCCATTCCTCTCTTTCTATTACTTCATGTCTTTCACTTTTTTTAAACACTTAATACATTTGCTGGAATTTTAGTTCCATTTATAGTCTAAAATCTTTTTACAGGAGTGTTTTTCTTCACAAACCCAGACTTTAGATCACCCTTGCATAAATAACCCTGATTATGATTGCCATTTCACGTCTATCTGTCTACTCTGTTTTACTCTTTTCCCAGCTTTGAATCTACTTTGAGCTCAGGGTGCCCGCTTCTGCATGTTTCGCTGATTGCAAACCTCCACAGTTTACGTATCGATCAATCACGTGACGGGACCCAAAGGTCAAACCACGTTGGAGAGACGGTGAAGGTCCAGCTGCGGTGCATCAACTCCAACTGGGTCTGACACACAGGCCTCCACCTCCCCCAAGGGGCGACATATTGAGAAGAGGGAAGGGGGAGTTCAATTTTTACTACTTCTGCAGCTCTGGCAAAGAAAGCCTTTCTACCAGCTAATGCTAACATACTCAGTTTGAACAAAGTTTACAAGTCAATGCCAAAAAAGTCAGACAGTCAGAGAGTTTGCAACCCAACTTTAAGATGAGCCCAACTATATTGGATTACTGTAATTCTCTTTTTATAAGGCTGCCTGACAAGTCGGTTAAGACTCTTCGGCTGGTCCAAAAGGCTCCAGCCCGAGAACTGACCAGAACCAGGAGAAGAGAGCATATCTCTTTGGTATTAGCGTCTCTATATTGGCTTCTCATCAAACTTAGGGCAGAGTTTAAACTCTTCTTCTGACCTGCAAATCGTATCATGGTCAGACACCATCACATCTTATAGGGCTCATCATCCTCTATTACCCTATTCCAGTGTACAGGCCTGCTCGTGGTAGGTCTAAGCTTGGACCGGCTCTTTGTTATCCTGCTAAAGGTTTATACTGCTGCGTCATTAGCATCAAATCATCACGTGTCACGGTTAGGAGTTAAGCAAAAGGGGAAAGGACCCAAAATGCAGAACAAAAAAAGATTTATTTGAAATGAACTAAATGAAAGGCAACAAAAACCAACTGAAAAATTCCCAAAGGCATAAACAACAACAACAAAAAAAACACAAGAGGCAAAGTCCAAAGACCCAAAAATCACTGGAGACTCACTGGGAAGACAATGATATGCTGACACACACATTGACATACAATAAACCAACCAGGAAACAGGGGAAGACAGGGACTATATAAACACAGGGAAACAAGCAACAAGAGGCAGGTGAGACACAGGTGTAGACAATTACCAAGGAGGGAAAACTGAGGGGGTAAAACAAGACTGTACACACAAAGAGAGAGACTAATATAAAATTAAACAGGGAGAAATGAAAACGATCAACAGAATGAAACACTGAGAACATGAGGGAAATGGGGTGAGACACAAACTGAAAACTCACTGGACAAGACTACAGGGGAACATGAACAATAGGGAACAGAAACACTAGGGAAAATACACAGAAAAAACACTCAAAAAAACAACATAAGGAGAAAACTAAATAAACAAAACATACCACAACACCCTGTCCTTTTAGAGTCACTAATACAGTCTTTTCTGGGAGTCCCTGAGCTCCATCATGCTGTAGATTTCTCTGGATTGCTGCTGCAAAAATCGTGCTGCTGTGGACCTGTTGCTTCAACTATGTGCATCAAATCATCTCTGTATTTCTCCATCTCTCTCTCTCTCTCTCTCTCTCTCTCCTCTCTAAATCCAGCTCAGACTTGGCAGATGACTGTCTAACATGTGTCTGATTCTGTTCGAGGTTTAGCCTGCTAAAGAAAGTTCTTTCTCTCTGTAACTTGATAAATGCTGTAAAGTGTTTCACTCGTGGTTGAAGATGGGATGCGTGTAGGTTGATCTTATCCCATCTTTATGTTGGGTCTCTCTAAATATGAGCATGGTCTAGACCAGCTCTTTTTGTTAGAACAGGTGGGAACTGTTCAACACATGAATGATGCTTTTTTTGAAGATGAATATGCAGGGAGGTTTTGAGATGTTTTTGACCTTGCATCTCTTCTGAATTTTGCCGCACATCCTCCAAATATACAACATTTTGGCTCTTGAGGCTATCAACTTGAGCAAATTCAAAACTTATATCAGGAGCCAAGGTGAAACTTAATACTTTGCAAACATCACTCCAGATCAGATTACATGTGCTTTAAATAGAAAGAGACAACTCGAGTAAAATCAGAACCAGATTTCTCCTTCATAGAAGTAAATGCCTTTTATGGTCAAGCTGACAGAGCCATGGCTGTGATGGACAAGGTGAAACAGCTGAAGGGTGAGGTAACAAGATTGTGTTACTCTAAAAGTCAAAGCACACAAATAATGACATCAGTCCATCATTAATCCAACACCTCATTTACATCACATCATTAAATCACAGTACGAGAGCAAAGAAGCCAGATTGGAAATTCAATACATAACAATTCAGTCAGCAGGTGGGGGATGAGCTCATGTTTCTGTCCTCACGCTTGTAGTTTAAACTTTAATCAAATAAAGATGTGAATGCGTATGTAAACAACAAGGAGAAGATGAGCTGAACGTTACGTCAGTTAAGGTAACACCGTTCTGTCTCTATTCTGTGAGAGTTTGTTTCTGATTCCACTATCTGAGATGTTAAATACGAAGCAGATTAGTGCATTGTTTTGGTACTTTAGTAATCTGGATAGTTTTGACCGATCAGGTGTTGGACTTTAATGCCAAACAGTTTGTATGAAATAAAATTAACACATAGCTAAGGTGCAACAGCAGATATTAAACCAGTGTGCTAAACTAAATACAGCTAGTTGAATAGCCATATTTATTCATCATCAGGTAGATTATGTCCAAGCTCTTTAGCTCCCAGCTTCTCCTGCAAAGATCTTCTCTCAATCCATGTATTTGCAACCTCTTTTGCAAAGATCTGCTCTTGAATGCCATTGCTTTCAGTTCACTGGTGTAATACTTGTTGTTTCTTTCCATGGATTTCTTGGTAATGTCAGCAGGCTGTAGTGCAGTGGGGTATCAGACAGATTTGGGGCTTTTACTCCAGGAAGGTAAAACAAAACTTCACATGGGATTTAAAAACATATATTACACCCATGCTCTAAAACAATTGACATAAAATGCCGTTATCTGTATTTGCAAAGCTAAAACAGTAAAGCACATTTTACATGTAATGCCTTGCTCATTCATGTTATAAAGTTCACTTTGAGGAGTGCTTTAAATCAGTCATACCTGTCTGAAACCATGCTGGGTGTGATTTGGATGTTTTACAAAGGAGGAAGAGGACCCAAAATTAAACACTGGCAGCCATACATAGCATTAACCAAGCCTTCCAGTTGGTTCAGACAACCATGAAAACTCATTCATCCATCGTTGTAATGTTGTATGAATTTTATGTCCTCTGGATTATGTTCAAGCTCTTTAACTCTCAGCTTCTCCTGCAAAGATCTTTCAAACATAAATATTTCAGCAACTTCACCTAATCTTTTCTGTGTTTTGTAAGAAACTCTCACCTAATCTCATGTGATGAACATGGATTTACTGTGATGCTGTGTAGCTTTCCATCAAGAGAAGTTAGCTACTGATGTTTTATCTCTTTTGCATGAAATAAACAAGCTAAACCAATGTAAGAACTGGGAAGAAGATAAAAAACAGAAGACAAAACAAAAAACACCAACTTAGCACAATTAGACAAATATTAACCAATAAATAAACCGAAATAACACTCAGTGCATTTACATGCACAGCTTAATTAAACTAAGCTCATAATTCGTTTTTTTTTTAACTAAATCAGACTTCTCTTCTTGTCCGCATATACATGCAGCTGAGAAAATTGAATTATTGACGTAAACATGTCCTCCTCCCAAAACTAGGGGGCGATATCGGGCACCATTTCCAACCCCATATGACTGCCAACAACAACAGCAGGTCCGTGCCAGACGTCAGAAGTGGCTACAACTGCTGCTGGGCATTTTCAAGCAAGAAGATGGAGCGTCGTACAGCGTTGTTTTGTTGTACATAATGTACACGCTACTTTTATGCAGATGAGATGCAAGCTACTCCTCTTCTCTGCTGTTATTGTTCTGGGGTTATGGGGGCGTGGCGCATGCGCCCATGCATCGTCCGATTGTACTCCAACTACGCTGGTTACATGGTAGAGAAAATCATAATCCAATTGCATTATCTGGGTGTCTTAATCGGAGTTCTCAAACTCCAATTATAGTCTGACTAAGGTGTTTACATGCACTTCAGTTGTCCGGTCTTAATCAGAGTAAGGCAATAATTTGGTTTTCTTGAGTGTCATGTACACGTACTGATTGATATCAATGTGACATACCTTGTTCCCATTTTTTAAACTCTTTATTTTGCTCGCCCTGTTTACAGTTTCCTTGCTAGTTTTCTGAGTCATCTTCCATCAGCCTAGGTTTATTGCAAGTATACAAATCCTTTCAAACAAGTAGAACAACTTTAACCCTTTCATGCATGAATTATGATATATTGAGTTAAAAAATTCTTACTATGTGTTTTTATTCAATATAAGGCATATAAATAATATTGCAGTTGGAATTTTTTTTTTACCTGTTTCTGCAAAGTTTTTAGTGACATGTCCACTAAAGCGGACAACATGCATTTGGACGACATTACAGAAAATGAATTGTATTAATACAAATAATAGAACCCCACCCCAAAAAGGAGTCAAAACAATTAGATTCACATTTTAAAACATTTAAATTCTGTTTAAATGCACATTACAAAACATGGCTTGTGTCAAACAACAGCAACAACAACTGTCAACTGTGTCAAACGAACTGAAACCATGAGCCTAATTAGGCTTCAGGCCAGGTGCTACAACTTCAGCCAGCACACTCAAAGCAAAAACAAATGCCATAGATTGGATCATTCATGAAAATAATAATTACAATAATAAACAAAAGAAATAGTGACTTAGTGACTATCCAAACACATTCAGTTGTCGATGCCCTGTACTACATTAGTTCACATTTGAAAAGAAGGCACACAGTGATATTGCATCGCTGGGCGATGGCAGTTCCTCTACATTTCTGTACTTCCTCTGGTCCCTCTCTGTGCGTGAACCCTGCATATAATAAATAACATAATGTGAAAAATATTGCACAACCAATCAATCTTTCTTTCTATTTATCTTATATATGTATATATATTTTTTCCATTGTTTTTATAATATTTTGAGCATGCACTGTTTGTAGTGTGTGTGTGTGTGTGTGTGTGTGTGTGTGTGTGTGTATGTGTGTGTGTGTGTGTGTGTGTGTGTGTGTTACAATGCGTGCACAAAATATATTTTTGCAAAAAATGTTTTATAAACATTGCAAAACTTGCACAAAGGCTGAGCAAAATACAGTATATACTATGCATGCACAAAATATAAAATACATGCACAACATTAATTTTTTGATACATACAATACAGATTACCTTTTAATAACATAAAATGGTTGGTTTTAACTGAAAAGGTAAGCTTGAAATCAAGCATTTTGCAGAGATAAGGAGTTACACCATTTGCATGTATTGTAGTAGAAATAGTATAAGTCATGCATGCTGTCCACCGTAGTGGACAAATGGAAAATTCCAATTCCAATCAGAACATTGCAATTTTTTGCAACTATAGTAATTATTAGATGTTACTTTATCCCAAAATATTTTTTTTACCTGCAGGGCTCTGCTTTTATAAAAGGAAGCAGTGGAAATCCCAGAGGTGGAGGGTCTGTTCTCAGCAGAGGCAGCCATCTTGAATGTTGACGTGTTTTTTCTGCAGTTGCAACACATGGCCACATGGCACCAGTGTTGGGCTCATTTTCCAGGGTCTACTGTAGTGGCTAACATGCATTTGTAACATCAAACCTCTATTTTTATAATAGAAAATGACCTTTGAAGATTTGTCCACTGTAGTGACCGTTATACGTGAAAGGGTTAATGTTGATTTTGTCAGAGCCCTGCACTTAAATCATGTTTATTGGACTGGACAGACGGGAGTACAAAGAAAAGGAAATCTTTTAAGAGGTCATTTATCGTTCTCAGGAACATACAGCTTAATGTCAAATGATATTCACAAAACTGATCTAAGTTAAACTCAGACAACCATCAAATTTCGTCAAGTGATGGCACTGCTTTTTTACCTTGTTAGCGCTGACATAATTAATGACTGTTATTGCACCATCTATCATTAGTGCCTGGATAGGACTGTCAGAGTGATGGAGCTCCTGCTCTTTACAGCCCAACATGAACAGAGTGAATTCCAGATTGAAGACGTCCAAGCCTCTAGGATAGATGCTTCATAAAACTTGATGATATAAACATAAGAGCTTTTAATTCTAAGATAAATCAAGTCATGTAGCCACAGGTGGTTTTAATTTGTCTGCAGCAGATATTTGTTTATAGTCTTTCTGAGGATGTGAGTGTAACTTTTACAGTGTGGTGTAAATGTTTAGAAGTGTTTAACAATGAAGAAAAACCGCCTGTTTGATTTGGAAGTGACGACAGGTGACACAGCTGTAGGTTTTTTTTCCTGCAGGCTCTGTGTTGAATGAGAGTGGAAGAGGAAGCAAGTTTTTTCTTCTTTTCTGGAGGAAGAGTGACCAGCATATGAAGAGTTGAGGTGGTGGTTAGTGCGTCTGTGTGTTTACTACTGCTGAGAGATAGATGAGGATTTGTTTGGATGATTCAGGCCTTTCCTTAAACACAGCTGGCACAATGACAAACCCCCACAGGTCTGAATTGAGTAAAACCTGCAGAGGACCTCCGCTGAGCGAAGCAGGGACCGAGTGTAGAGAATCAGAGAATACAGAGATCATGAAGTTAAACACATGAATTATGTCAGGGATGAAAGAAGAGGAAACTTTCTGCAAGTGAGAGAAGACAAGAGGGTGAATGTAGGCAACAAGAGTAATGAGAGAGACTGGGAGAAGTATGAAGATATTAAGGGAGTGGTCTCTGGGCAGCAGAGATGTAATAAAGTGGATCAAGGGGGGAGTGCTGGATCTCTGTTGAAGGCCAGGAGAAGTTCCAGTCGTGCATGGGTGAAATTGCTCATTGCAGGAAATCCCCATGTCTGGAGAGCAGCGGTGCTGCCAGTGGAGAGTGTCTATCAAACAAATGCACAGCTCTGTCTTCTATCATGGACTCAAGATCTACTCACAGGCTGCAATACATGTCCAAGTCTCTCAGGCTAATGGTGGTGGATCTTAAATCACAACCCAAAGTCCATAAGAGTCCAGACACTGGAAAGTGTTGATGAAAACAACATTTCCTTTGTTTAGGACATAAAAAAGCTAAAAAAAAAGTTGTTTCTCCATTGCTGCTTCCACGAAAGCATGCTAGCATGTAGACATAACCCACTGGCACCAACAACCTCTCTGGACCTGTGTCAACTTAAAATGGACTGTGGGGAATCAGAACCCTGTCCACTGGTCTGATTAATCAAAATCTGACTTTTTTGGGGGATCATAGACCCAACACCCCCTATTCTGCAGAGGAGAGGAGCCAACTGGGACATAGTCCAAACCCCAGCAACCCTGATGGTACGGGGCTTGTACAAGGCCGTGGCATCGGTAGCTCCACATCTCCCAAATGAACTGTTGAAACACTTCTGAAATGAGCATAAATTTGATCAAACACTATTTGGGTTTAAATGATTTAAAACCATCCTTTTCCTTTTTTAAACATTTTACAGTCTACTAACTCTCGTGAAGTTGTGGTTGGACATGAGCACAGATTTTCCAGCAGGAACAACATGTTCTGGGTTTGACTGAGCTCTTCTGATTCTTAGAGGAAAAAGGATGCTGAATCTTTTCTATTCTTTGCAGGGTTTTTCGGCCACTTCCTAGGCAGGACTTCCTATTACGTCTCTGTCAAACATGACAGGAGTCGTATTTTACTCCAGTACAACCACTTTGAAATAATCCCGGTTACGTCTTTGGTCAGGAATGTCCCACTTCTGCCAAGTAGCTGGAGCGCTTAGCCTGCAGAGTGTAATTCTCTGAGAGCATGCTGTGCAAGCGTTAAATGTGATTTGACAGTTTTTGGGTGGTGTTCACAAGATACTTCATGGATTATACATTAATTTTGATGCTTTTAGACAACAGCTGCTTGATATTTGTCTTGTTTTCATCGCTTGACTTTGGGAAAGGCACTTCATAGCCCCAAACAGCTTAGTCATGGTGTTTCACATGTAGGTCTTGGCAGCGAGGGGGTCAGTTCTTTCCAGCTGGCTGTGCGAAATTCGGTTAATTTGTACCTTGATCATGCAAGAACTTGAACTATATGTCTTACATGATGCCACAGCTGAAAGAAAACCGACACAATTCAGCAAAATCCTTTTGCCACCCTTCACTTTGATGTAAGCTCTGCCATCCGTCAGGTTTGTTTTCTTATATCAGCCCCAATGAGCTCTAATGGGCATCCTTAATGTGCCGCGGCATGGCGAGGGAGTCTGATGTATTGCTCTACAGCTCAGTTACAGAGAAAAAAAGTACCCGCGGTTTTTCCCATAAGAGGGATGCTAATGCCCATAACTGAAAGCAAATGTGGATTCTCAGAGAATCCTGGGTTTAACTGTTCCTACGGCCCATGGGAGAGGAAATTCTGCTCGACGTAGCAAAATAAGAATCTGATCTTCTATAACTCAGCTGTAGTTTCATATACATGGAGGGCAACCTTTCTGTTTTACAATCAGGAGTGAATTCTTATTCCCATGGGTACAATCTGTTCTAAAGGCACAAATCAAAGTGAAGGAGCAGAGGAAAACCACCACGATTAACCCAAGTACACCTCACCTGCTTTGGATTTGCAGAGGTTAAGGAGCAACAGAGTCGTCTTCAGATCAGGACGGGCTGTTAACACACAGGCTGCTGTGAAAGTTGAGTCAGTGCCTGAATATTCTGAGGTCATAACTTGGCTGTAAGTGCAACCCCAAAAACAGGGGAATACTCGCCTGCAGAGCAGCCTGGAACAGTTTCCAGGGGAAAGCCCCTCTCTCTGGAACTCCTGATGGTCTGCTTTATGAAACGGTTTTAGGCTCGCCCAGAGAAAGTGTGTTTGTAAGATCATGAAAAACTACAAATGGACAAGTTGGAGAAGAATAGAAGATATAAGGACAGGATAAACCATCAGCTGTGTGAAGAGAACGACATGGCAGCGCTCCAAAAGTGACAGCAAAACTTCAGGAGCTCCCCCTTCTGGTCATACATAGTATAGATCAAGGCTGTGTCTTCTATGTTAACAGATGGGACTTGAGTCGAATTAAAAAATCAAAATATACATCAATTAAATTATTCTCAAACATGGTTACTGTCATTATAGGTTGTGACAAGTTTTATTGGTCCTTTTTACAAATCAATAAATATATAGGCAAAGCTTTACATCTTGTTAAACTTTGTCATGTTTCTTTTACCATTTTGAATTATAAAATAAAGCAGGCTAGTGTTTATACTGAGCATAGAGTTTGTTTAGGAAGGCCAAAAAGTCAAAGTGAGTCCATAGAACTTTAGCTTATTACCTTCCACACATCCAGTTGGCAAATGCCAAAATAACTGTTCTTAATACATCCTCTGCAAACAGCTTAGCAACTCACCCCCACCCCGTATCTGTCTTCTTATTCTGTCTTTTTTCTTTATTTTCTCTGATTGTTTTTGTCCCTGTCTTCAAATGTCATCACTGATTCCTCAGAGTTTTTCGCTGCTGCCCTCCCTGCCTTACTTTTAAAGATATGTTAATGACAGTTAAGTGGTTAAGTGTTTAACCTGCTGCAGGTTTTGGCATTCCACAAACACACTTAGAAAGGAAACTGCACTTTCTTTGAGGGTCTTTGCTGCTGCTGCTCTCCCTGCCTTGGCTTTAAATGTATGCACATAAAAGGAAGGGAGGTGTGCTCTCCCAGCCTCTTTGCATGCAAATAAATATTTCTCTTTGTTTGAACCTTTACAGTAATTAAAATGAGTAGTTAAATGTTTTTTTGGCCTACAAGGGGGTCAGTAAGAACCTGTTGCCATGGAAGTTTCACCTATAGGGAATCCAAAGGACTAATTTTAGTTTTTCACACACAGTAGATATTTATTTTATGAATAAAATAATCTTTAAATCAAGATATTGTGCCAAATTCTTAATCCTTGAAGAATTGTGTTCTGCTCACTATACATTAATTTTCACTACGAATTAGTTTGAGCTCAGTTACACACTCAGCAGACAGTTCTGTGAGGATTATGAACTGTTGATAATTATGTAAGGAGAGCCTACTGTGCTTAACAGAGGAGTAGGATACTGTTAGAATAATGTGCATAAATGTATATAGAAGTTATCATTATTCCTCATATTCTTATGTAAGAGTTTATACTACAAGTGTAAACTGCTTTGACCTCTTTTAATACATTATATAAGAGTATTTTTATCATATAAGAGTGTTTCCTAACTTCTCTCTCCAATAGATTTACTACACAGCAGAACAATGTTCTTTCAGTTTTCTGTGACTGTGTCTTTCCTATCAGCAGGTGGGGGTGTGTGAGTGATGGATCCTCCGCTAATAAATCGTGGGGAGTTTTTGAGGAGGTGCCGCTGTTATCAGAAGGAGCTCATTAGATGCCGCCTTGACCTTCACATATTCACAAGTGTTCATTATTATGCTTTATGAGAATGTTTACTTTGCTGCACCATCTACCACCCCTTTTAGAAACATTGTGTAACCAGGGACAAGACTAAATAAAAGAGACTGGGCGGAAATACCTTTAGAGTGGTTTCGACATGGTACCTGAAGCTATCTCGGTCCATTCTCCTCGAGTATATAACATTGTCTTTCTCTTCTTTATATGTTATCAGGTAAATGTTGCAGGTTTTAGACCTAACATTTCTTTGGTCCTTCGAGCCGGATTCCAATAGACCAGACGATTCCAGCAGGTGAGGTGGACGACAGATAAGACCGTGGCCACGGCAGACTCTTTAGGATGAGTCTTGAAGACCTCTTTGAGGAACTGGACTCGACCTGCCTGCTGGGATCCGACGGTTGACGGAAATCCGAAGCCAAGGGGAAAGACAAGTGGTGAGTTGGTCTCTTATAAAAAGGAACGTGGAATGATTGAGATTCGCTTCGCGTAGAGAATCTATAAAAGACCAAACAAACAAAAGGACGCACAGGTCCTACGTATAAAAATCTGTGGAAAAGGACGCACGGGTCCTACGTAAAAAAATCCGTTGAAAAGGACGCACAGGTCCTACGTATAAAAATCTGTGGAAAAGGACGCACGGGTCCTACGTAAAAAAAATCCGTTGAAAAGGACGCACGGGTCCTACGTATAAAAATCCGTGGAAAAGGACAAACGGGTCCTACAAATCCGTGAAAAAAGGACGGTAGAGTCCAAATTGGAAAATTTTAATTCAAGGACGCACGGGTCCTACAAAGCCGTTAAAAAATTCTGCAGAACAAAACACGTGTTAAAAGTGTGATTGTGAAAGTGTGAGAGTGATTGGAATAGGCATATATCACTAGATATATCCTATTCATACCAAAACAGTGGGATTGTAAGTAGTGACCTTATTGTGGAAGCAAAGGCAAGAATTCTCCACTCGCAAGAGTAGAAGCGAGAATTACCACATAAGGAATTTTTTATCACTACCCCATTGAAAGAACCCAGCTTAATAGGACACCCTAGGTGTCACCTAAGCTGGACCAAAACACATAAAAATGGGGACGGAAACCAGTAAGGCTAATTTGGAAGAATTAAGATGTCAAGATTGGAGAATCTTTGAAAAAGAGCCAGAAAAATTACAATTCCTCGAATTATGGGTAACTAAATTTGGATTTGATGGCAGCCTAAGAACAAGCCAATTAAATAAACTACACGACTCCATAAGCATAAAATATGGGTGTCAAATGATTGATGAATGGAAAAAAGTAGCAAAAGCCAGAGAGGATGGAGAAAGGAGGAGAAAAAAGGGAAGAACAAATGGAGCTAGTGCATTTTTTGCAGAAGGTGACAATGAAAATGAAGCCTTCTATCAAAATGCAAGAGGCAGAAGCAGAAGAGGATTCAGAGGTAGAGGACAAGATAGGCCCAGATCAGGAGGAGCAAATCAAAGAGGGACATGTTGCTGGGCATGTGGAAAGGAGGGACATATAGCCCGCATTTGCAATAACAAATCAAAGGGAGGAAGGCGTGAGCAGTCAGGACGAGATCAAAAGCTATAAGTAAAGACAACTTTAATAATAATAATAATTATAATAATAATACTGATAATAATGCAGAAATGAAAGGTAGAAAAGGCAGTTAAATAGGCAGAAAGGTTTAATGCAGACTGCAAATTTTTAGCAAGTTAAATTCTCTGTCCAGTCTCTGTTCTCTGCACAAATGAGAAAATGATTCATCACATGCCAGTTACGACCTTGACTCCTCCAGAGACACAGCAGCCAAAGAATCCCTCCCTATGCAGAAGCATGTAGCTATCAAAAGACAAAACTGTGACTTAACTGTTACAGCCTATGAAGTATAAGTTGTACATGTAGACGTGTCACTGGAGAAGAAGAGGTTTTCTGACCTCAGCTGGCATCCCTGTTAAACATTTGAACCAACTGATTGATATTATACCCTATTGGAACTTAAAGAAGTAACCATAGTAAAGTGCAGAGAACACCAAAGCTAACTTGGAATTAAAAACCCTCTCTATAATGCTATTTAACTTAAGATTAACTCAAAATGTGACAATGAATTTCATACTATATGAGATAAATAGGACGACTATGGAATAATAAGAGAGATGATAAACCGTTTGATGACTATGACAAAGAGAACAAGAAAGAAGCAGGTTAAGAGGCAGAAATTTCAATAGAGAAGGCGATAGAGGAAATAGAAGTTTTGACAAGAGTTATGAATCACAAGAGCAAAGAGATTAAGAACAGTACCCTGACCAAGGTCATGAACCACAACATCAGAGAATTGTAGAGCTTTTTTGTCACTAGGTGAAGAGCTGTAGAAAAAAGTATCAAGCAGGACTAGAAGAGGGAGAGACAGCAAACGTTATTCGACAGAAATAAAGAGAAAGGGTGAACAGAGACGATACAGAGGAGGAAGAAGTGCTAAACTTGGAGAAGATAAATAAATATATAAAGATATTTTGATAGATAGATTGATGGATATACTTTATTGATCCCAAACTGGGAAATTCTCTTGTTATAGTAGCAAAAAGAAAATATAAAACTAAATATAAGAAGTACAATGCAGACTAAAAATAATAAAGATACTAAGTATATACAATAAATATAGGCTAAATATGCTAATCATCCTAAGAGATAAAAGTGAGATATGAAGAACGTGGGCTATTGAAATTAGTAATAAATATGAAATGAGTAATAAATATGAAATGAGAAATATTACAGATGGGATGATAAATATACAATTTAAGGTGCTCTGTAATATGATGTGATAGGAGTTTTTAAGAATGGACTATACAGCAGACAGGCGTGAGTCCCTGTCTGACATATGTGAGTTATTTAACAGTGCAATAACTTGTGGCAGGACAGATTTCCTGTATCAGCGGAGCTGCAACAGTCATTTGGAGAAGGAATACATTGTGCAGACATAACACCGCAGATATAGTTAATGATTCAGGGTTTACCCTTAACCTTTTTGTGTGACTCCGGTGCAAAGAAAACAGTTCTTAGACATAAACTATCACAGATTAGGTTTTCCAAACAAAAGATTTTTGTCAAATCAACACACAGAGAGAGCTTGAGAGATAGTAATAGCGAGTCATGGGCCTTGCCATGTCTCGACAGGAGGGAGGAGTGTAGTAGTTAACCCTATTGATTCATAAATTATTTAAAAAAATAATAATAATAATAATAAATAAAAAATAAATAATTTACTATTTGATTTGTTCAGTTTGTTTAAGACATAATGCTCAAGACAATATAAAACCAAAAAGAGGCAAATTTCCACCAACCAATGCATTATTTGAAGCCATGCACATGGACTTCATAGAATTAAATCAGTGTGAGAGAAAGAAATATTGTTCAGTGTTAATAGATCCTTTCACTAAATGGATAGAATTATTTCCTGTTACCCATCCAGATGCATTAACAGTAGCAAAAATCCTGCGTAGAGAAATAATTTCTTGATTTGGCATTCCAAAACAAATCTACAGTGACAATGGAACTCATTTTGTCAATGAAATAAATAAATAAATAATAATAACTAGAAAATGCAATTTCTGAAGAAATTGCGAGATGGATTGCTCCAGCTAAAATTGTAATTGCTAAGATGATATTGTAAATGGTTTAAGTTCAAAAATTATGCGAAAGAGATGAGATTTGAAGATTCAGAAAGGGTTGAATCAGTTTAAATGAGTTGGAATTAGTTTGAAAAAATTGAATACTGAATGAAGAATGAAATGATCTAAAACTGAAAAAATTAAAATGATCATAATCTGAATGTATAGAGGAGTTGAAGGCTTTTAAAGTTGTGTAAAGAAAATGTGAGAAAAGGGCCAATTTGAAAATTCTGTAATGCATTTCTAACGAGAAAAATTGGTTGTAAAATCTGGAGTATCTCAGAAAGTATGAATGTTAGGAAAATTTTGAATATAAGCTGGAATCTCCTGAAGTATGAATGGTTTTTAATACAGTGAAGTAAGTGGAAGGAATTAAAAAAAATAAAGGTACTGCTAATGACAGCCACAGCAGTAAAAATAGCACAAAGAAGTAGTTGGATACATCTTTCCCATTGCAAAAAAAACCTATATGGGTTTTAGTTAGGAAAGTCTGACTTCAAAGGGGGGCGTCCTTATAGTGGGCGTTCGTCTCAATGTCAGTGAAGATTAGATGGTGTTGAATTCCTTAGGAGCTTAGGAAAATGGGGAAGTTAAGTATCTTACTTCTGCTAAACCTGAAACTGTTAATTTACCTACTGAAACATTATTTACAACTTCAGATGAACTTAAGGAAGAAAAGAGAAGTGACAACAACAATAGTCCTCACATCCTGTGTGACTACCAATCAAAAATCACATTCAGCTGTTCTGAAGGCGACCATGTGCAGAGAGCAAACCTGAGAGACAGTGAGCAGGGGTATGAATCACCCAGACAGACACCACAGTTGCTTCATGTGGTGAAGACACAGAACTTTACCATAGCTTAACTGCTACTAGGCGTTTGTGTTATTTTGTTTACAATGGGATTTTGTGCATGCTTGTTTTGTCAATAAACACTTATACTTATGTTTATTAAAGGTACATCACAAAATAAAAAAAAAAATTAGTTAACAAAAATGATGGAAGAATAATATTAATAAAGATATGAATAACATATAGTGGAATGCTTCGCAATCCCTCTCAATAAATAATAATTAAAAAAAAACTAATTTGAAGTGAACATGTGGTACAGATATACAAAAATATCTAGTAAAAATGAAGAATCAGTCTAACTTCTATGTCTGTACTAGGAATTCCCTAACTATAATAAAAGTGTATGTGTTTTCTGTAGCTGTACCTGAATGACAGCAGACTGATAATAGGGCCTTAGTGACTTTAATCCTAACTGTTGTAACTTTCCAGACCAGTGTGGCAAATTTAACCTCTGCAGTTAGTCTTATTCCTTTGTTGAGCCACTCCAGGGTAAAAGAAATTAGCAAACAGAGTCAGACCCGACTTATATAGATAGTTCCTTGTGAGGTACCAGATGAGTACAAACTAGTAAATCAAGTTGCTGCAGACTTTGAGTCTCTCGTCTGTCCTTGGTGTACAATGAACAAAAATATAGATCAAATCAGAATCAACTACATCCATTTCAACGTTCAAAAGCTAGGTAATTGGACTGAGGCTGGTTTTCAGGCCGTTCACTCGCAGTTATCTGCAACATCCCTGATGGCTTTCCAAAACCGTATAGCCCTTGACATGCTGCTGGCAGAAACAGGAGGTGTATGTGCCATGTTTGGAGAAACGTGTTGCACGTTCATTCCTGATGACACTGCTGCTGCTGATGGCAGCCTCACTCGAGCCATGGAGGGCCTAAAAACGCTTCACAGCAAAATGAAAGACCACTCAGGAATAGATAACTCCTCTTGGGACAATTGGATGAATGTATTTGGGAAATACAAAAAATCTTGTAGATTCAGTCCTAATCTCTGTTGCTGTTTTTGCAGCTAATTTGACCTTGTGTGGATGTTGTTGTATTTCTGTATTTGTTCTCTTCTTAACCGTCTTATCACCACAGTGTTGTCTCCTGTGGAGCAGCAGATGCAGGAATTGTACCCGCTGCTCCATCAGCAGGACGAGGAGGACAGATTTGATGACACTCAATGGCCTGACCTGTGCCCTAATCCAGATGATGAGTATAATTCTGACTAAAGCAACGTCTTGTACCTCCGTGTGTAAATTCTTTGTAGTTATAAACATGAACTCGCAGCTGAAAATCGAGAGAAGTGGCTGAATTAGAGGGATTATTAGAATTTGAGCAAAGTAATGATAAACAGGAGGGAAATGTTAGAATAATGTGCATAAATGTATATAGAAGTTATCATTATTCCTCATATTCTTATGTAAGAGTTTATACTACAAGTGTAAACTGCTTTGACCTCTTTTAATACATTATATAAGAGTATTTTTATCATATAAGAGTGTTTCCTAACTTCTCTCTCCAATAGATTTACTACACAGCAGAACAATGTTCTTTCAGTTTTCTGTGACTGTGTCTTTCCTATCAGCAGGTGGGGGTGTGTGAGTGATGGATCCTCCGCTAATAAATCGTGGGGAGTTTTTGAGGAGGTGCCGCTGTTATCAGAAGGAGCTCATTAGATGCCGCCTTGACCTTCACATATTCACAAGTGTTCATTATTATGCTTTATGAGAATGTTTACTTTGCTGCACCATCTACCACCCCTTTTAGAAACATTGTGTAACCAGGGACAAGACTAAATAAAAGAGACTGGGCGGAAATACCTTTAGAGTGGTTTCGACATGGTACCTGAAGCTATCTCGGTCCATTCTCCTCGAGTATATACCATTGTCTTTCTCTTCTTTATATGTTATCAGGTAAATGTTGCAGGTTTTAGACCTAACAGATACACTTTTATTTACCTCAAGTATTTGTATTTGCAAAGATTTGAAAGCTTGAAAATCCCATATCAGTAAATCAAGCTCCTTCGTGAACAGCTATAAATCTTTCACAGGACACAACGTTTAGAAGTCATTAAGAGTCATTAAAAAAGCTAATTGGTCTATAAATTACGCCAAGCAGTTTACTGGGCAAACGTACAACCAGCTCAAATTAATCAAAAATGTTTTGAGCTTGGTCGTTTGGGGACTGTTTACCAGGGTGCTGAGCAACATATGAGGAATATATTTTTACAGATTGTAAGTTATGTTCACTCCGGTGCCATTTCTGTGTTTTTCTTGATCCCAGACTTCCTGCAGCTCAGGAGGCCGACGTTGTTCAGGAGTCAAAGAAAGCTATTAGGTCTTTATCACTGTTCAGATCCCGTTTTACCGTATTTTCCGTGGTTAAATGCACTTAGTGGCTGTGTGTCAGATTGTAAATATGAAACTTTTCCAGCAGCTGGAGTACTTTTGTCATTATAATAAAGGAAATCTGTTCCCAATAAAATACAAACAGGCAAAGAGTCAGGAACCGTCAGAGACAAGGAGCTTTTGTTTGGGGCTTTTATTTTGTTAGTTTGTCTTACATTCAGTTGGCCTGGTTCCAGACCAGACATCATCTAAGAGAGGGAACAAAATCTGTTATCCTAAAAGGTTTGGACAGTCTGTGCTTATAAAACCAACATACATGGACTCACACATCCCATAAATCCTACATCTGTTTCCTCCATACTGTATCTCTGCAATCATCAACATAATAGAACTATGTTTTACTTTATTCCTCTGTCACCAAGATTTATGGCAACTGTCTAAAGAGATTTATCTTCTACTCTAAGTAAGACATGAATCTACAGAACAATCCAGAAGGTGACATCAGTTCAAGCATGCAACACAATCTAGAAAAATAAACATTCTTTGAATGCCCCGAACAGTAACATGAGGTTTCAGTTGTGTCTGGGCATGACAGTAGTGTTTGAACCAGAGGATCTTGTTCTGATTCTCTGACAGCGAGAGCCCGACTGATCACAGATTCACCTGAACTTTTCTGCAGGAACCGAAAAAGACTTTTTGACTGTTGGTTCTGAGCGAAAAGCGCTCCTAAGTCTTCTTTTGTGAGCATTTTACATAAACCCACCTATTGTGGACCATAGAAGGCATGTTTCACGTTGTCCTGTAAACAGGATGGAGGGTGAGATCATTTTAATAATCGCACAGAATAAAGGTTTTTTTTTATTGGCACCTTTGCACAAAAGTCTTACTGAGTCTTGGGGCCAAGCAACAGCGGTCTTTGCTGCTGCTCTACCCGCCTTGGCCTTTCATGTATACTCATTGAAATTAAGCTAACATTGACATGTTCCACTACAAACTTACTGTTGTCTTCTTAAATCCCAAAACTGTCAGAGAACAGGTGACATGATCATCCTGCTACTATGGGGAATCTGACCAAACCTCTATCAATCAGCTAACAAACAGCGTCACAACATCACGACTCTCTAAAGAAGACAGGAATGTTGCAGTCAAAACACGCAAAGTTAAAAAATTAAAACACCTGTCCAGCAACAAGAAGTGTAGCTTTTCTGGCTGAGACATGAGTGTGAAAAGATTGTTCAACAGTGCCTGTAATCGAAAGTTATCAAAGTGAAAAGTTGCAAAATTTCACAAAAGTTTCTTGTGGTCCTAATTTGTCATCCTACTAAGTATTTGCACCAATGCTCAGATATCTGTGATGCACCTCTATCTGGCCTTCAGTGAAATCAGCCGGGCTCTGCTTGAGGCATTTGAAAAAGGTCTATCTGCACCGTTTTTATACAGTATTCACTGCAGTCGAGTTCCTGGAGTAAGAACATCTGAAGAAGACAATCCTGAAACACAAAGTGTTGATCCCTGAGAAATTCAAGCTGTTTTTTTCACAGTCTTTCATAAATGTTTATTCTTCTACTTTTCGTTTCAGCTTTCTGTTCATTGGTTTCTTTTTCCACTTCCTTTTCCCTAGGTGGTTGTTAAACAGGTAATTGTATCTGTCATCCACCTCTTGCGCCTCCCTCTCGTCTTTGTACCAGGGTCCCCAAACGCCTCCATTGTACTGCGGGTTAGAGCGCAGGTCTTTAGCTGGGTAGCGTACCGGCACTGCAGTCTTGTTGTATTGAGCTAGCCTCATTAGCATCTTTTTTACTATGTGAGGGTATCGCTGGGATAAGTCCACTCTCTCGTAGGGGTCTGCTGTGATGTTGAAGAGCCACACAGATTTACCGCGGTCCCAGCGGACGCGTTCGTTATGCCAGCGGTTGGTCAGACGCTGGTTTGAGAAAGTCTGTGGAGGCACCCAGTCGCTGTAGCCAGGGACACCCGTCAGGAGCTTCCAGTGGCCCACTCTGATTGCTGCCTGGATGGCGGTGTTCCAAATACCATATCCGGCTTTCCAAGAACCGTTCTTGGCTTTGATGTAGATGGGGTCAATGTTGTGAAGGATGTCTTGGCGAGGAGATGGGCGTCCTTCACTAATGGCCTCCCAGACATCATATCCATCCAGATTTAGATCCTCGTCTATAGTCCCCTCACCAAGGGTTACCAGTGTGGGAAACCAATCAGTGATGTGGACCAGAGACCGACATTTAGTCCCTTTGTTCACCAAGAGAGGACTATGGACAAAGCCCACGGCCCTGATCCCCCCTTCCCAGTAAGTGGCTTTACTCCCTCTCAAGGGCCAGTTACTCCCACCTGCCAGTGGCTGGCCACCATTATCGGAGGAGTATATGATTACGGTGTTGTCATAGTAACCATAGTGTTTCAGCGCTAACGTGAGGTTGCGAATAGCTTCGTCCAGACAGGACACCATGGCTGCGTATTTTCGTCGGGACAGGTTGGGGATACCCTTGTAGCGCTCGAGGTAGCGTGCAGGAACTTGCAGTGGGGAATGCACAGCCTGATAGGCCAGGTACAGAAACAATGGTTGTTTGCGAGGGTCGTGATTGGCTAAGATGCTGATGGCCTTTCGAGTAAACATCACAGTCGAATACATGCCACGGTCCTGCTCCCAAGCAGCCTCCTCCCCTTCGTACAGATCGTAGCCGCACATGCCGGGGCCTTCACATTTGTAGTGGCTGTAGTAGTCCCCGCTTCCTAACAGGGAGCCAAAAAAGGTGTCAAAGCCGCGCTGAGTCGGCATGCAGCCACGCTTGTAGAAGCCCAGGTGCCATTTGCCAACCATATGGGTGGAGTATCCGGCTTGCTTGAGCTTCAGGGGGAGGGTGACATTTTCCAGGGGGAGGCAATTGGGCTGGGTGGCTCGGATGATGGAGTGCTGAAGACCCGTGTGGATCTGATATCTGCAACACAAAGCAAAAAGGCATAAACACATTTGTGGAAATATGTGTACTTGATAACAGCAGGTCATCTAGATTGAAAAAACTTAAAATTCGTTGATGATATTAGCGCTGTCTAAACATTTAGACCACTCAAAACAAAAAGAAATTAAGCTACAGCAAGATAAATCAATTTATAATTTGGATACTGCGCCACTAAGGTTGAGTTATGTCTCTGCAAAGGCATCGAAGGTTTTCAACTCTACAAACTGAATCTCAAAATTGTGTAACACCCCATACCTTACAGCTCAGATTAGTGTGAAGTGTAGGTACAAGTAAAATTTCTTTCAACATTTACGAACCACCTATTTTTTTAGGAAGAGCTGAAGCACCACCTGAATGTTTCGCTCAAGCTCTCAAGGATTGGGCTTCAAAATACTAAAATCTTGCCAATAAAAAACACAAGGCATAGATTTTCCTCAGAAAGAGGACTCCTCTAACAGACCATTACAAAAACATTAGGATGTCGATACAGACAGAATCTTTGTATCTATGATACATGCCGATAAACCTGTCTCCAGTTTTAATTACATTGTACCAAGTCCAAAGAAAACACATTTGAGCTGACGGGAGGGTTTTTACACGTCTTTCAGAGCGGGGTCATGTAAAACGAACATCTACCAGCGCAGGGAAAGGAGGTAGAGGGGTGATGGTTAACGGAGCAAAAACAGAAGACCTGCCACTCAAAACCAGAAGATGTGACCTGAAGCTAATGATGCCATGGCAACCATTTAACTGAGAGAAAACACAGGGGTACTAATGAGTTACAGACACTTTATATGTATAAGGTATTTTCAAACTTTTATTTCCCCTCTCTGAAACTGACCCTGTAATAGTGCTGTAACTCTGCAAGGATTTACAAAAACTGTTGTTGAATCATATCTCAGAGTAAACAATCTCCACCCGCCTGAGTTTCAAAACTCTCCCTTACCCACACAACCACACCATCAATAACTCAACGCTTGTAAATTCCCGCGATAGCGACTGATTGTTGATGATGACAAAGTGAAAAGCCTGACAAATGCACATGAAAAATAACACTTTAATTACAGTACTCTTTTTGATGCCGTTTTAGCAAAACCACTTGCAGACCAAGCACCAACTGCGGCCGAGTATTTTAGATACAAGCCTTTTGTGAACTGACAAAAATGGCTCAAATTTATTTGCAACAACCAAAAAAATGGTTACTCAGATGACACCATCAACTTAACAGTCACTCAGTCTGTTTGTCAGCTGACTTTAATGACTTTCTTCTGGAGGTCAGAAGGTGTTGCAGCTGCTAACTGGAGTTGACCTTTGGTTTTTGAAGGCTTCTCCTCCTCCTCCATCATTGTTTTACTTCTGAAATGAGGTTCCTTTGGGGTTACTTTGAGGCTCAGTTCAAGCCATGTGTTGGCAAGTGGTTCAAACAAAGACACTGGGTGACAGAGACTAATGATTCTATTCATGGTTGTGGCTTTGGTGTAATTATACTGCAGTTTATTCTGACTTCAACTTTTCACTGATCAGTTTTGGATCAAGCAAGTCAGGATTAGGAAAGTCTTTGTAGGGCAGACCCATCCCCCACTCTGAACAAAATCGATTCAAACTGAGCTTCAGGATTAGAGGTCTAATTTAAATCATCAGAGCCAGCTTTAGGATCATGGAGACTATGAGTGACTCCGTTCTTGGTCCACAGGGAGGAATCCCAGCTGAGATTTTGAAGACACTCTCAGAAGACGAGCACAAAGAGGTCTGACTTCATTTCTGTCTGCTTTGAGTGAAACCAAGACACCCAGGAGACGGCAGTACGAGTGCTGCCAGATGCCTCTTCCCCTTCTTCTCTCTCTCTATGACCCTCCCCTGCTCTCTCCTGAGGTTAGCGGTGTGCCGACAAGCTGTCACCGGGGAAAGGGAGTGAAAATAAGAGTCTGGTTTAGGTTTCGACAGAGAAGGACTCAGCTGGAGGAGATCCAGAAGGTGGTCAGGCCCAGAGAACCTCCACTGCCCCCCGAGATTATAAGTCCTATAAGGGTCACACCACCGAGTGATGGGTGGGACGTTCTAAACAAAGCAATAAACCCAATGATTTACAGCTGAAACCTACTGCACAGAAACAATACACATGCTGCCGTAAAATCACAGAGGGCAACTGCAAACTCACAAAGTAACTACCAGGCATGAAGCACAGCTGGACAGAGCATCAGCCTATATTTCTGCGAGTTTATGGATGCTTCTGTTTCAGTTTAGTGAAGTTTTTTTTAACCTCTGTGTTATATGAGGAGACCTGAGAAAAAGTAGAGTTCAGTTTCCCACACAGAAAAGATATTTCAACAAAGGTGAGTGTCTCAGACGTGAACTAGCATTTCAATTTCAACACGAGGAAGAGTGTTATATTTTAGGTGTGCTGCAGAGATTAGATGCTGGGCTTTCGGGCTGTCAATGTTTAAAGGAATCAACTTTAAATGAATATCAGACATGACACAAATATTCGGAAATGCCTAATCTAATGGCCTTATTCTGAGCTTCTGGCAAGAGGCAAAATGCAGCCATACAAGGTAAACACTTAAAGTCGAACAGAATAAAAGCCAGGTGGTAAACAAAACTTTAACAGAGGAAAGGACGCAACAAAGACAGACCCGTTGTAACGTACATTCAAAAGGTTCAGAGCTGTAAGAGTGACGGCATTTTCATTGTTTGGTGTGTATCTCAAGAGCCGCCTGCTAACATGTCCGCTGATTGTTATGGTGCGTGATGCAGAAGGTCCACCTGGAGATGGCCCAGTAGTAACCAGCTGAAAGGGGGGCATGTTGCCACCCATAGCACAGCAGAGGCAGACAACTGCAGCTCAGAGCCCCTTCTATGCAAACATCCCTCAAAATTAAAAAACATCCAGTTCTCTAATAGCCCCACACAGCATGCGTATTTTTGTGTCTGCAAAGTTGACAGAAGCTGTTCAACAGTGTTTATGGAGCAAACTGCACAAAACTGCAGAACAGTAAAAGTCATTTGGGGCTTTGAATTATCATTTGTGCAATCGGCTTTGTGAAGTGGACACTGAGACAGAGCAGAAAGGACGAGTTGTGCAAGTCTTTGGGCTTTAAATGATAGCAATCTGTTCTATGTGAATTCTGCTCTTAGATTGTTACTAGTTAAATCGGATTTGGCCATCTAGTATAAAAGTTTTTGATATTTCAAGTCTGCACCTGCACCGCAATGGAGCCCCACTGTCACCATGTCTTTGCACTTTCATACCTAGTGTATAAAGACATTATTTTAGTGACATTCTGTGAGCTCTTGCAGCCCTGCATCTATTGAAAAAAGAATTGCTTACTGGCGAAATAGCTGTATTTTATAGCTAACCATGTTTTAATCTCTCAAAACATGTTTTTTTTTTTTTTCTTTTACTAGGAATGATCCTCATCTTGTTTGCTCTTATTCTATGAGCATAAAGGAATGTAAATGCTCTTTATGTAAGTGCTATCTTGTAGATAAGGGGATATGTCAATGAATGTTTAATGCACAAGCCATTGAGTGTTAAAAGTTGCCAGATTTTCACATAAATAAAAGCGAATAACTCTGCAGAAGTCATCTGAGGTTGCATGTTTTATGAGCGGACTGAACTGATCTCAACAGTAATGTATGTAACAACTTAGTGTTCCTGCATCATACCAGATTCACTGACCCAATGCTGGACCACTTTGTTTTCTGGGGCCAATCATACCATGTGTCCTGCACTGTGCTTTAATGAAAACAAGTACCATCTGGCCTTGATGCCCCCAAAACATTCAGAGGGAAATAAAGAAGTTGCTGTGTTTACAACTTGGCAACCAAGATTCCCACAGACTTTTAATGCCGGTTCCCAGGATCTTCAAAATGTTTAACTCATCAGGATAATAATACGGCACTTTTTGGAATTTGATACCTCTTTTCACTGAGGTTAGATCCATGACTTCAGAACAAGACCACAGTGGCCATGGTCTCGGTTTCATAAGGCGATGAGAAGAATTTCTTGTCACTCGATGGTTGACGCAGGGGGAACTTTGAACCCAACAAGGAGTGTGCACACCGGGGGACAGAAGGGGCTTTGTTGCGCCGATGTTAGGCGACGACATTTGACTAAAGTGAACTTAGAAGAGATGAGAATGAAGGCAACATGTGTTTGTGGGTGAAACAGCATCATCAACAGCAAAAAATCGACCAATCCTGGCCTGGGAATATCTTCCTTTAGACTGATGACACAAAGACAAAGTCTGCACAACATACAACAAAACATGATGGAGAGAAATTACACAGCAGTCTTGTTCCATTTAACCTTCCACTTTAACCTTCCACTAAGGCTTATGGCTAAAAAATAAAACTCTAAATATGGATAATCATGGAAAATAAGCTTTAACTCATGTAGCAGCAGCAGCTCGGCTCTCAGCCCCTACAGCTGTCCCCTGTTGACTTTAAGAGAGAGAAAGTCGATTCTCACATAAAACTCTCTTTCTCCAAAATCCAAGATTGGCTTGGGGCCCGGCGCCTACAGATGACGTCATATGATTGGTTGAAAGTCGGTGTGGATGACGTAGAAGATTATGGTTGGTCCTGACATTACAGAAGCAGTTTTTGCCAGATTAGGTTTCATGGGATTGTAGTTCTTTGGAGAAAGCACGGATGAAATTTAAGAAGCAGTCTATCACTATTGCCTCTTTAAGGTTGCCAAAGGAAATGGGGAATCACATTAAAACTATCAATTGACAAACAGAGATTCTGCGCACATTTTTTTTTTCTTTTTCCTTTAGAAAAGTTAACATAAAATTAAAGCCATCTAATATTACAGTACAGTAAGTTGTAATTTTCTGTATTATATGAAGAGAAAATTTCAAGGTCAATTGAATGAACAAATGGAAATAAAGAAAACCGTGAGGGGCTTTTGACCGAGCACATTTGACTTCATAAATGAAGCGCAATGTAGTTTGTCCGAGTGGTCTTGCCGTAGTGTGACATCTTCAACAGGCGCTGGGCCCCGAGCCAATCTGGCAGCCCAAACACATCTGATACCTACACCGGCATAGATATCACTCTGCTGACCGCCATTAAAGCATTGTGTTGCAGTGTGACGAAGACAAGCATGAAGATAAAGTGCTTGCTTCTGCAGCGTTGAGTCAACATAGAGTCATGAACACGACTTATGACTGCTCCCCAAAGAGGATGAAGAAACAATGACTTTTCAACAGTTGTTAAAAATAGTGAGTGAGACAGGTGTTTGTTCTGAATCCTAAACTAAAAACTGAGAAAACATCTCTGGTGTCAGCTCAGCTTGCAGCCCCTGCTGTAGAAGTCACCCAGAGACCTTTACAGAAACTATAAGAAAGCTGTGCCGCCCAGCCCTGCTTCCCACAAACCTATTACACAGGGAATTGAACCTTGTTACCAGCACATAAATGTCCATAAAATGCCTTCTGGATGTACTACGCTCCATTATCTTCAATCTTCTTTTGTGTATTTTGGGTTTATACAAAAGATTATTTTCCACATCTGGCCTTTTTTCTATTTATTTCAGCCCGTCAGACTCTTTTGTTTAAATGCCAAGAAAGCATTGAGAGAAAGACATCATCAAACCTAAAGTGAAAAGACAGGATATGAAGCAGAAAGTAAACTATGCAGATCACATACTTGACATGTTCAAAATTATTAAGACATGCACGTGTAAGACTCCAACCCCCAAGAACCCTGACCCCTTTCCGTCTTTTGCAGCTCCTGCAGGTCTGTTGGTGTTCACATACCTAAAGGTTACAGCCGTGTAATGAGAATATCATGCTAAATGTCATACCAAATCAGTCAAACCTGCTCCAGGTCTTAACGGAGGACGTAAGGTGGAGTGCAGAGACTCTCAAAGTGTCCCTGTGTTGTCTCTCTTTGATGCAAAGGGGATTTCACAGGGGACTTGGTCTTGACTTTGCAGTTCTAGGGGCACCTGAAGGACAGTTCTAGGTCTTTAGTATTTATGAGGCCTTGAAATAATGACTGCAGTAACTACTGCCCTCTGGAGATCTTTCCTCCTACCCTGCAGTTCCTCCACATGTCTGATGTGACTGATTTATCGGTTCTTTTAAACCAACCAGAGCATGAAAAACAGCAGCAGCACAGGGGCAAAAAACACTCAGAGGCCAAACATCTCTGCAACATGTATCCTGCATGTTTCAAGCTACGTCAATCCAGGGAAAGACTTCCAGGATTCTTATCTTATCTCGCCAACAGTGCCTTCACATTCCTCAAGTAAAAAAAAGAGTTATGTTACTGCAATCACGCCATCTTTTCTGTGTATTTGTATAACCACTAAGCCACAAGGCCAACAAATCACACACTCCATTAAATTCAAATCACTGTTCCAGTCCCACAAGACAAGTGCACTGGCCACCGCTCTAGCCACTGAGGTTCTGGAGGTTCCCTGAGTAAACCTGTTGCCCAGATCGGGGCCTTGTCTCGTGTTCCTGCTCCACGTCCTCCCAACATATGGTTCAAATAAGCGGCTTCAGCTCTGCAGTGCTGCACTTAATCAAAGTCAGCCCTGGAGTGGTTCATCTTACTTAGCCTGTCCTCTCAGCAGACTCTTCTTTTTCTTTCTTGGTATCTTGGACTACCTACCTTCACCTTTTCTCCTCAGCCTACAAACTCCTACAGGAAATAAGGGTCTCTTCTTTTTCTTCTCTTTTTCGTTTGGTTGATTGTTGCACAACCCACACTTCTTGGACATGTGGGTGAGGGGTGAGGAAAGGAGGTGACAGATGACTGGAACAACAAGCAAAGGGTGACTGAGAGGCTAAGACAGGTTTGAGATAAGTGTGGACGGATGGAGAGTGTGAATAAGTAGTAGTAGGAGGAGTGAAAAGAAGCTGCTTGGAGCAAAGAGATGACCCTACTCGCTGTCTGGTTTTTGACCAAATTCAAATCCAGTGGGTTTTGATATAAAAGGACTGTGTTAGGAAAAGACAGACCGGCTGTTTGTGGTCTCCTGCTCACTGCCTCACAAGCCCACCACAGCTCATTCTTCATCTTTGGGGTTTGTCAGAGGATGGTAGATCATATAATGATAAAGCAGACAGATGAAGACACATCACTTGGGTTGCTGGCGGCATGTCCTGTTCCCTTAAGTGGTCTACAAACAGGATGCTGGCACACACTTTGGGGTTTGTGTTGTCAACAGAGTAGTGTAGTATGATAATAGAAATAGAGGGATGCATTCAAGGGTCTTGTCTGTCTATTAAAAGAATGGTTGTTTGGTGCTGCTGTGAGAGACTGTTTAAGCTAATAGTTCAACAGTTTCAGAATAATATGAAAGAATTCTCCGTCCTCCAACCGTGAGGCATTTAGTGGATGACCAACCACCACCTCCTCCAACGCTGCCTCCGTTCTGTCTCCTATGCAAAACATACATTATCGCAAGCTCCTCCACAGTCGCCATGTTTCTTTTTGTTTGTTGCTGTCAGAAATTTTTGACTCCGCCCTGCCCCCTGGTTAGAGTAATGGTTAACATCCATGCCAACTTAAAGGACGCATGAAAGTATGTGGGAACCATCGTTTGAAATGGACGTGTTCATTTTCATACGTATAGCGAGCATAAATGAGCCTTTACAACTGCACCATGGGAAGAGGAGACCGCATGTGTACATAACCCATGGACACAAACATCTTTTCTGTACCTGAGTCTCTTTAAAATGGGTTGTTTGGAACTGGAACACTTTTACATGATCAGTTAAGTCAAAATCTGACATTGTTTTTGGAAATCATGGACACCACATCATTTTTAGAAGTGCTGCCAAAGGATTTAAACCCCCAAAATCCAAACTACCAAAAAGCTTGTGCAAGTTTTGTCTACACAATTTTGTTGCTTTATTGTTCAACAGTTATACTATATCTGCACCATGGGTGGTTTTAATGAGTTTACCAGGGACCGTATAAAACAAGAACAAAGTCTCAGTTTTGTGATTTATGTAAAATGTCTATAAGCATGGACTGGAGCATGGAAATGAACATCCGTAGACATCCCAGAGCGCTAATCTTCTCCCAGAAAAGATGGAAGCGATCATGTTACCCAAAGAATGATGACTTTTTCTCCAGTGGTTTTTCAGTTTCGATCAATTTTAACAAGATCATACGAAGTACACGTCTTCTGACTGTCTGTAGGGTTAGTTAAACGCTATCACCTGTAGCCAGTGGCAAAGCTGCATGAGGTTAACCATCAGGACAAGATTAAGACCATGTGTTTGGCTCAGATCTAACGGTCTGAAATGTAAATGGAGCCCAGCTTCATTTCGTGGGTACTTGTTGAAGACTTGCCTCCGGTTGTGCAGATGACCAAGCGTCAAGAAGCTGTCAAAAGAATTACAGATTTAGCTCCTGACTCAAGGGTGAAGAGATGTAAGAATGTGCCAGAGAAGTCCTCATGCAGGATTTGCCTGGACAGGTAAGTTGACATGGCTCTAAAGACGTGCAGCAGTGATCTTTGACACTTCAGAAGTGAGCTCACTTAATTACAAAGGACTCAAACCACAGAGAAAGGGTTAGAAATATTGGCACATCATTCACCCTGTCAAAGTGTGTGTTTTTAATAACATATCTGACATTTTTGTTTCTCCAACCTCTGCCCTCGCCTCTGCAAATCCACCTCTCTTGATCATTAGGGATCAGCAGGAGCACAATGGGGTTTAAAGGGCCAAACAACTCAGGACTTGAAAGAAACTTCAGACTCTAAGCCTCTAATCTCATCAGAGCAGCGTAAAGAAAAAACAGACTGGATTTTTCTGATGCTGTAAGTTTCTCTGGAGACGGACAGCGTGGAAATCGGTTCCCAAGCTCCCGTTCCTGGAAGGCTAAAAGTGCTTTGTGGCGGCTCCAACAGCAGCTGCTCTGAACTTTTTCTACAAATATGCCAGGATTTCATTTTCACTCTGGGTTTACATTACAGCATCCACCCATAAAAGGCCTTTTCTCAGACTGCGAAGGTTTTAAGGTGATTGGTCTTAATCCTCGTTTACATTTCTGATACTTTCTTTGGATTTATGCGAAATAATCACAGGTGGCGTTCATCCCCCAGCAAAGATCTGACTAAGAAAGGCACTATTATGAGGTCTGCAGAGAAACAGAAACAAACTTGACGCTCAGATCTGTCAAGGAGGATGCTGTTTGGCTTTCTGCTTGGCACTCTGCTTTAAAGATGAGCTTATCTTAATATTAAAGCATACACAGAGTCAAAATAAATATTCACTATGCTCAGACACATTTGGCTTATTATATCGACCTATAGTCGGCATCGATATTGGCCCCTTAGTTTATTATACTTAGTTTATCTGTTCCAATATTTTATCACTTGCTCTTCAGTCCCGCATCCAGCCTCCACCTCCTCCTTTGCTGTTTCTGACTTTACCAGAGTCACAGATGCCTGCAGATGCCAGATCAGACACAGAAAGGCAGAAGAAACTGTGGGCAGGAAAGGAGGCTGCTAAAAGAGGAGACATGAGGGTGGCAGGGGTGGATTCAGGATTTATCTAGGCGCTACCCCAGCTCCAGGGATGGGAATATTTTAATCCTGCAGTCTTTTGTTTTTTACAGTTAATTATAAGACAAAGACAGAAGGCAGCAGTTAAAAATAATCCAGCAGACATGCAATCGTAAGCACGCAGCTATTATCAGACAGGGTTGGTTTTAGCTTCTTTGGTAACCTGCTGGAATCCCTGGTAAAAAAAAAAAAGTGTGACTAGATTTTGTGAAGCGCTTTAATAGTGGATGGGATCCTTTCCTCACTGATATATGCTCTGACAAGTCTGTGAAGGAGTGCCGGACAACATCTGAAGTTGTGAGTGCTGTAGTGATCATCCAGCTGACACAGACAATTGATGATTTTATGATGATATTCACTCATTTTGACTCCACCACAGTCTCCTTTCTAATTAAATCTATGCCTACATTTCTGCGAGACCGTAAGGATGTTAGTAAACTTTTCTGCCCCAGTCAGGGATTTCAGGAAGGTGGCTGCACTTTTCTCATTATCTTCTCGGACTCCTGCCAAGAAACTGCGGTGCCCAGCAGACCTCCTTCGCTTTAGAGGAGAGGAACAGATGGAGGAGGTGGGAGGAGAAACCCTGCAGAGCTGCATGTAAAAAAAGAGGAAACTGCTGATGTGAAACATACTGTAAGGCAAACTAAAAAGCCAGAGCACAGCTGACCCCCCATGATACTGTATCAACCCCTAATACCCGTTACAGCTTCCTCCCGCCCTGCTGACAGATGTGGTGTGTAGCCTACAGTTTGGTATAGTTTTCTACAATAAACCTGTGAAGCATCTACTCAGAAGTCTGTTTTCAATGTGGCAACCTCAGAGCGACTTGATTTTTGGCATGCATATTAACAACCATTCAGATTGTGGCCATGAGCAGCACATCTTACCCAGTTTCTTATATATATATATATATAAATAATATACAAACAAATTATTTCAGGTTACAGGTCACTGTTTTAAAACTGTTACAGTTCAAGTCAGGTAATTTAGATTCATCTGGCATCATGGTTTGGGTGTTAGACACAATCTCTATTTAAAGGGATATTCTGACGTAAAATAAATTTAGGGTCAAACACACCATAACACCGGGTTAGACACCCCCTCGAGAGATGAATGTTGCCGACCGCTTGCTTCTTTAGTTACACCAACTTTAGTAGTGACCGCATGATAGCAATACACAGGGGTCTCATGAGCCATACACAAAACTCAACCAAAAAGCCACTCTATAGCCACAAATAATGCTCAGAACAGCAACTTACTTCATCAACAGTACATACAGGGTCCCAGCCACAGCACTAGCCGCCAAACATCTTTTTAACTTTTCCTAATTTCTTTAGCAAAGAGACTAAACACAACTCACCTACTCTCTGCCAGCAGCCGCTTGTTTGTAGTGAGACCTCAGGCCAATCCAGGCTAGTACTATGGCTGGGACCCTATATGTACTGACGATTAAGTTAGGTGCTGTTCTGAGCATAGAGAGGCGTTTTGGTTGAGGTTTGTGTGTATTGCTATCTTGCGGTTGTTACTAAAGTTGGTATAACTAGAGAAGCAAGTGATCTGCAACATTCATCTCTCCAGGGGATGTCTTACTCAGTGTTACGGTGTGTTTGACCCTAAATTAATATTACCCTGGAATTTCTCCTTAACAGACTGGCTTTTAAAACATGTTTGCTCATCTTCTCCTGCAGTTTTTCTGGATTAAACATCAGGACCTCCACTCTGCAGGTGACTCATTCTAAAGTAAGACTCATATTAGTTTGAGAAATGTAAGTCCCAGCAAAGGACAAGACAAGGTTTTACTCCCTATACAAGGGAAGGAAAGTAAAGGCATGCCATTTAGGTTTGACAGTTTCCTGAGAGAATCACTACCAGTTGAGATAATGCACATTTTCTGAACTTAAGTAAATATAAAACGATATTAGGAGGGGATGATCTTTTGACTTGGGAACAGCTGACAACATATTGAAACTTATGCCAACAAAAGACCTGGCTTGATTTAAGAGTTTTTTTTTTAACCCTCTTAGATTGTCAGTTTTTCCTTAATAAAGTCTGGCTGTTGAAGGACCATGGTGTTATCAACCAGAGGACTGTACCTGCCGGTCATGAGCTGGCTCCTGGAGGGGCTGCAGAGCGGCTGCACGTAGTAATTCTCCAGCTTGACTCCCTGCGCCGCCAGCCGGTCAAGGGTCGGGGTCTTGATCTCTGACCCGTGGTACCCAACATCCCGGAAGCCCTGATCGTCCACCAGGATGAACACGATGTGCGGCTGAGAGCTCGGCTTGTCAAACTCGTTCCCTCTGTTTCGCTGCTGTTGCGCGTTCCAGTTTTCCCACGACAACTGAACGCTCCAAGTCTGCGAAATGATGAAGCTCAGTACCAAACTCAACGGGACCCACAGGATGAACATGTTTCAGCCGGATTCAGAGCTCCAGGCGCGGTCACTGCTGCTCGGTGGGTCGGTGGGGGCGGGCCGGGGCGCGGTGCACATGTTCAGGGGGAGCAGAGGCACTTGGAGATCGGGTTCGCATCGTGTTCAGTTCTTTTCTCCAACACAGAGTCCGCTGACAGGTTTACGGCGGGGAGAAAAAGTCAAATGCATCTCCTTAACAGTTGCTGTGACAGTTCTTGCGCTCTTTGCTACCCGCTCAGGTGAAAAAACTAAATGTCAATCCCTGCATAGATCCACTCTGTCATCCTCCTGGAGTAAAGTGATCGTCAGAAGACGCGCAGAGTCTGATCAGCTCTCAGCGGAGCCGCAGCCAGTGCACTGAGTTCACAGCAGCTGATGCCCTCCATCCTGACAGCCTCTCTGAGCTCTCCGAGGACTCCAGGCAAACACTGACTGAGTCTGAGAGGAGGCAGGTCTGTGTGGACGTCCCCCTGCTCCCATTACTACACTGTGTGGTGATGCGTTCAGAGGCACCTCGAAAATCCCAGCCTCCAAAGTGTAGCTTGAAACAACTGCACGCAGCTGTCAGATTAAAGACTCCCTCTGATGAAAATCACGTTTTTCTTGTTGTCAACATATTCATGTGGCATTTTTCTGATACTGCAGGACAAATCATGAGAAAAAGAAGTGCAAAATTGCATTTCTGAGTATTTCGGCATTCAAATTGCTGTGAACCTCTGTTAGAACCCAAATGGCAGGCTCAGACACAGTGAGATTTCCTATGTCACAAATCCAAGCTCCGCCCCCGGCTCGCTGCTATGCAGGCCAGACCCAGAAAAATAGAGGACAATAATGGAACAAGCGTGTGCAGTAGCAGATGGCAGTCCTTGTAAGAAAGCTAATTATGATATTAACTTTCATCATGCTGTATAGTGTCCGAGAGTTGAATAGCTTTTATGCTACCTGCTACCTCTATTACACAGGCAATATTAGGCTGCAAGCTAGCGTGAAGACGAGGGTGCAGAGCAGCGCTGTCTCCGCCCAAGACTCAGGGGCGAATTAGTAATGAGCTGCTAGAGCTCTGCAAAGGAAAAAACCTTTGAAAATGACACAGGTAGCGCGATTTGGGCTAAAAACTTCATAATTACAATTTAAAGACCACTGAGAACACTTAAGTAGTAAAAAAATAAAAACAATCAGGGTGGGACTTTAATATGTTGATATCGATCCACAATTTTTATTTTATTTTTTATCATCATTTACAGCTTAATTAATCAAATTTACATGGCTGTTCCACAAAAAAACAGCTGGACTTTTCATTATTTAGCCACATGCTTAGAGAAGTGCTCACTTCAGAGATACCATCTGACATGACTGACAAAGGGAGATGCAGAAAGAAAGAGATGGACAGAGGTGACACTCATGCATCTGGTTTAAGAATTCAGAGGAACCTACAGTATGATGGAACTCAGGGACTCCCAGGGACTGTGTTAGTGACTCAAATTGGACATGATGATTCAAAGTTAATGACGCAGACAGAAAGAGGATGGTCAAGATGCTTCCCTGCAGTCTAGACCTATTGCAGCATATCTTTGAATTTTAGTGTCTGACCTGATGAAAGTCAGTAGGATTACAATTGCGTGTTAAGAAACCCAAAGTTCAGACTGACTGTATGTCAGAGTTGGATGGATTTCTCTGGATCTGTTTTCTCTACAGCTCCTGGGTGAGTCAAGCATTTTGTTTTTCTTTTCTGGATTTACACTTCACAAACCGGGCATTTGAGTTATGTGTTTGCCCTGGAGGAAAAAAAATAAATTAGAAAAACAGAGCAGGGCAGATTTATTTCACATCCTACACATTGAAATGGAAGCGCACAGGGGATGAGTGCTGTGGAACAACAGCAGCAGAAGACGCTGTTGGGAAATGTACTTTATTTTTTTCAAACATGAGATGTGATCGATGAGAAAACTGGAACTTGCAAAAGTGAAGATTTAAGACAGTAACCTAGAAAACTGAGCAATCTCATCCCAATTACATGATCTTCAATAGAGTCTAGGAGCAAAAACCCTGAAGGTTTCATAGTCTGGTGGTAAACCCATGACAAATCCCTAGGGGGTTGACTACTGCAGTGCAAACTGATTTTCTAAACGCATATTTAGCAGGTTATACAACTACTGAGAAACTTCAAAACCCTTTCATAAACATTTCCAATTAACCTCAATTAACACACCTCTGAAAGGTGTGGGTGCCATCATGGTCAGGGTATGGTCTTGCACATGTTCCTATGCAATGAAGCATTGTGCAGAATACTTAAAGGAAAGGTAATGACCATCAGCTGCTTTGGGCCAAGGTAGGACTGGGTGATTATATGATTGTGATTCATGATCCGGATAAATTTCAGTTAGATCACAGTGATCAGCTGTGAGCATATTTACTCGATCAAACATGGTGGAAATGTGCGTCACAACAGCCAATCAGAGTTGAGTAGTAAACAGAAGGAAACAGAATGACTGAGCGTGGAACTAAATGTGGAACTAAACATGGAGCTAAAACGCGGAGCTGAGGGCAGCAAAATAGATGTCAGCCATGACTTTGAGTCATCCTCCAAAGATGCCATTGTTGAGAAGAAAAGTTACTTAACATGGGTTGTGTGGTGGTAGTTCGGGTATCACCATAAAAAACCAACAACACAACAAATCTGTTTAATCATTTGAAGAAGGTCTTACTAAGTGATTATGCGGAAAGCATGAAAATGTGAGCAGGGTCTGCACAGCCTGCCACTGCTGATGACACAAGTAGCATTAGCGGTTTAGGCACACCTAGCGGTGCTGTCACCAGACCAAAGCAGCAATCAATCATATCATCTACATTTACATCATCTAATGTTTACATTTTAAGGCATCTTCATTATCCCTTAGGGGAAGGTTTGTTTACTTTGTGTCTTGCATACCTGCAGAAACACTCAGAACTGTAAACTAGTTCACTCTATTATCTAGTATTCTTCTACATTTGTTATATTGTTGAGTAAAAATGTTTTTTATTTTTTTCTAACTTTATCTGATTTAATTTGCTTTGTTATTTACGTTGTATGTTAATAAAATGTTGAACTAATCTCTAGTTTATTTAGTTTTTAGTATAGATGCTTAAAAACTGGCAGTTAAAAAAAATACAAAAACAAGTTATGATAATAATTGAGATTGGATGATATGGCAAAATATATCATGATATTTTATTGTAATTTTTTTTTGCCAAATCGCTCAGTCCTAGGCCAAGGTTCCTTGAGGTCCCTACATCTCAAAGCTACTGCTCATCAGTACCAGAAACCTCACCAGACTCAGCATTTCTAACCGGAACTTCAATCTTCAATGGGGTGCATGTTTAAATGTTAAAATTGGTGCTCCAAATTCTCATTATTCTTCTAATAATAGATAATATGCTTTGTACACATATTTACCTACCTTTTGCATATTCTCGCTATCAGTGGATAGTGGATTGATTAGACTTCATGTTTACCTTCCAAAGCTCTGAAACGGTTAATTTAGCCTCTGACCAGCATAAACAGGCAGCCTAAATGTCTTATTGGAGGTGTTTGTTGACTTTCAGGTGATGCAGCTGCAGACTCTATCTGCAGCTTCTCTCTGACTGCTCATATACAAACCTGAGCTGACATATAAAAAGGCCTGCTGTGAGCCTCTGAATCAGGCAGGAGGTGTCTGAGGGGGGCCTGTACAGTGCTGCAGTGAAAGACCCTCACATGCTTCAGCTGTCTAAGTCCTGGAAACACATGCATGCACAACACACTTGCACAAACACAAACCAGCAGCCTGGTTTATGCAGATGTGAGTAAGTTTTCATACTGGAAAACAAACTTGAGAGATTGGAGCGTCCAGAGCGAACACACACACACATACACACACGTACACAAACGCACGCACACAGGAGAGTCTCCAGCCTGTCTGCACATGTTCACTGAGTGAAGTTTGTGAATCACTGCCATGCACTTCCTTTCCTAATTCCTCCCACTCTTCAAATCCAGTCTACAAATGAGCACTCAGCATTGTCGGAGAGATGCATTTCCTGAGTCATGCTATTACCGCCCACTTCAAGACACTTTCTGACATCCTCACGGAGCAGCATGAGCTCATTCTCAGTCACCACAGCCCGTTATTATGATGCAGTGGCACAGGAAATGAAGAGCCTGCTGTGTGCCATCAAGTATAAAAATCCCTGGGGTGTTTGGACCCGACTGATGCCGGTCCCTGTTTCCAAGAAGTTCTCTGTTTTTTTGGAGGGTTGCAAAAAAGTGCCCGCACAGACGTCTGCCGAGCCCCCACCCCTCCTTGCATTTCACCACACTCCACTCAAACAACAAACTCCAGAGAGGTGAAACTGCTACCCCTTTGGAGCGTAGCTGATCCTGCACTGTAAACGCTTCATTGTTGGAAAGTATTTAGGAGTTTTGGGAGGAGGGGGATGCCTGGATTTCTTATGGATGGCTTAATAAAAATTCCAGATATAATTCCTGCGGAGGAATCTTTTTCATGCAACACAGTTTTGACATAGAGCATAAGTTTGAGGCTTCAGGAGGACTTGAAACCTGCAGAAATCAGAGTTAGCTCTGCAGTCTCTGTAAGCCGTTCATACCTTGACACTACTTTGAGTTAAATTTCCAAACTAGAAGAAAAAAAGTAAGTACTGTATTGTAGCATTAGGATAGCAACGACCTGAATGATTAACAAGAAAGTTTAGAAATCTTGTATGTTGTATATTTCCACTTGGATTTGATGTCAACTCTTTCTGCCAAGTCTGAGCTGCAGCAGCATTTCCAATCTTATGAAAAGACCCCAAAAAAAAAAACCTTCCTGCCATTGTGAAGCGGTAACTCTGTCAGCTCCAGTATGTCAACATTTCTGTGCACTCCTTGACTTTAAACCTTACAGTGTAAGAAGAGTCAGCGCTGCAGCACAGACATGCAGATTATAGATTACCCACATGATATGAGGGACTGTTATTGTGTCAGACATTCCTCAGAGAAGTGACTGAGCGCCAGGTGAGGCCTACAGACCTGCAGCACAGCTCCTTTATTCTCAGTGGAGACGGTCCCTGATCAGCAGATAGACAGGGAATGTCAGCTATGTAGAGGAGTGCATTAGTTAAAGCAATGTCAGGAGATGTTATTGACAAGACAGACATAAAGGAGGTATGTATCTTAGATAACTCTTTGTAAAACCACAAACTAGCTTGTCAAAGCACTAAAGATTATGTTAAGAGATAGACGAAGACCACAAAAGATCATTTTTTTCCTCATAATTGGCTTCAAAAAGTGAAACTTCCACATCTTCAAGACCACATCTCCTCCCACACTAAGGGGGCTTTCACATCTAGGTTGTATGGTCCAGACTTTTGGACTTTTCTGTTAAGTCCAAACCAAAATGATAGGTGTGTAACCTCCCTAGGACCTTGGTCTGGACCAAACTGA